ACAGACGGCCCGGCGGGAGGAGGGGCCGGGAGGACCGATCTGTGGATAGTGGAAGACACAAAACCCTGCCAGGCCGGGGGCAGGCAGGGACCCGCTGCCATCCTCTTAGCTGTAGGGGGACGCACCAGGGTCACGAGCTACCACGGGGCCATCAGAACCCAGACCCGGTCCCGGGGGTCCTTCCCCGGGGGTCCCCTGGCTCGAGGGGCGGCTTCCGAGAGCCACACGTGGACATGCCCGTTTACTACTTCTGTTCCCCCAAAAAGAGCGCAGCTGCGGGGAAAGAAACAACCGCTTGAGACAGGGTTCCATGCACGGGGAGCCCCGTCTCTGACAGGCAGAGGGGCAGATAATCACCGCCAGGGCGTCGTCCTGTTTTTGTTCACAGGGCAGTGACAGGTGCCCCGCCCACAGCACATTTCAGGCCTGCAGGGGCCTGTCTCGGCAGGCTCCCGCCCCGCCGCCTGACCCACCAGGACGCGCGTATGACACGTCACCAGGGGGACGTCTGCTTTGAATCGAGGGGCCTTGCGGGCCTGGTGCCCTTGCTCTGTCCCCAAAGCCCGGCCACGTGGGTCAGGTGGGACAGCCCTCCCGATGCCCCGCGGGCAGGCGCCCCTCTGCTCCCCGCCTCCGGCCTCAGCGAGCCGGCTCGCCCGTGTCTGACCATCTCCCGGGAAACTGGGTCCCCTGTGCCCAAGGCAGGTCCCAGAAAAAACTGGAATCACTTTGTTTAAAATATGAATCAAAACACTGCTGTTACCATCCGTCCTGTCCCCCAGGTCCTCGGGATGGGGGTGGGGTGGGGACAGCACCCTGGTCCTTGGTCTCCCTATAAAGAACCACAAGGTGCCCTGGCCAAAGATGACGGTGCTGGAAGGAACCTTCCAGAACGTACACATTTAAATGACCGCAGCTCTCCAAGGCTCACCTGGAGACACCACGTGTCTAGCATCCAATTGTGTTATGACTGCAAAAAAAGCTGCCGGAACTAAAACCCCGCTGGGACTGACCGAGGGCCTGAGTCAGGCCTAGGAGGAGACCGCTGTGACCAAGGGCCCCAGGACCCACGGTCGAGGGGTTTATCAAACATCCGGAGCACGGAGCCGCCTCCAGTGAACGTGGAGAAACGTGTGTCCCCAGAATTTCAGACGCTGTTTTGAGCAACGTAAGCAGCCCCTAGGCCCAGGTGCCCCTCCCCTCAGGGACGGCCTCTCCAGTGAGAATGTGTGACACACGTGGCTCCAGGAGTGGGAAGGATGTAGCCCAAAAGTCGGGTCCCAGGGCGCCTCCCATGTGTAAATAGCAGCGTCTGGACACACGGTGGCCCAGGCTGTCCCAGCGCCTCCTGCTCCCCAGGTAAGGAGGCCTCCGGGCGGCAGGTGAGTGCAGGTCCACCTTGGGTCTCCGTGGGCCCTGCCTCGTGGGCCACCCACCCAACAATGTGGAACAAAAAGTGACGATTTGGGGAAAACAGGGCAGGTTTTTATATTCTATGATTTACTTAAAATGAATGTATTTCAAAACAAAATTAGAATTTCCTCTGGGCTCTTCTGGGGGCAGGCCGGTGAATCCTACATGAGCATCACTTAGACATGGGCTGCACTGGGGAGCGAATCAGTCATGCGGGAGCGAGGCTCTCAATGATGCAACCACAGCCACGCCGGCCTCCACGCCAGCCTCTGTCTCCTCCCATGAAACGGCGGACGCGGTGCCGCCGGCCCACCCGGTGCCCAGCAAGGCCCCCGAGACGGGCACGGAGAACGGGGACCCACAGCCAGCCACTGACAGCAGAGCCAGCCAGTCCTCGGGGGACCCGTCCTGCTGGCCGCCTCCGAGCCCAAGGCAGACCCAAGGCCCAGACCTACGCCCCGGCTCGGGCCCAGATGACTCGTGGTTTTAAAAACACAAATTTCTACACAAAGGAAGCCGCTGTGTTTACAGAAAACTAGCACTTCCCTGGCGCGGCTGCGCGAGGTGTGCTGACCGTCCGAGCAGCCCCTGTGCCTGGGCCACGGCCTCTGCTGGTAGGAATTCATGTGGTGGGGGCAGCCCCCAAACTCTGGGCCTCGGGGTAACAGCTTCGGGGGTGCAATGTGCAGAGTGACTTTCTTCTAATTAAAAAGCCAAAAAAGGGGAGGGTATACTTCAAGTAGTAGAGCACGCGCTCAGCATGCACGAGGCCCTGGGTTCGATCCCCAGCCCCTCCTCCAGGAATAAACAGATAAACCTAATTACCTTTCCTCACCAAAAATAAACAAATAAAAATGTGGAACACAATTAAAGAAAAAAAAAGTCAAAAAAGATGGGTGAGGACGGCCTACCAGGAAAGCGGTCTTACAGGAAAAGGGACGGGAGCTTAATGGCTCTTCCAACCCCAGTGACAACTTGTGAGAATGAAACACAGGACAGGGAAGCAGCCGGGATGTCCTTTCGTGGCTGACGGATAAATAAACCGCGGTCCCTCCAGATGGGGGACTATTACTCAGCAGTAAAGAGAAGTGAATGGTCAAGCCACAAGAAGACAGGGAGGGGCCTTCGATGCACGTGGCTAAGTGAAAAACGCCAGTCCGAAAAGGCTGCCGGCGGCGTGGCTCCCACCATACGGAAAACCGTGGAGACAGCAAAGCGGCTGCCAGGGGTCGGGGGAGGGCGGAGGAACAGGCGGCGCTCCGAAGACGTGCGGCGCAGGGAAGCTGCTCTCTGCGGGACCCTAACGGGGAGTACGTGTCATCGGACGTTTGTCCAGATCCGCGGGGCGAACGACACAGTGAGCCGCCGTGCGCACCGCGGACTCCGTCAGCCATAAGGCAGCAGGGCTGGAGCCTCGCTGAACAGGTGCGCCGCGCCTGCGCGCACGCCGGCGGGAAGAGGGCTCCGGGCGAGTCCCTGAATTCGTACTCTCCCCTCGATTTTGCTGCGACCCCGAAACTGCCCTAAAACAGAACTATTCGTTAAAAAGAAATGGCCAAATGTGAAAACGCAGGCACACGTGGATCAACGGAACCTCTACCCAGACTGATCCCTGCTTGGTCCCGGATGGTGGCAGCCCACGTGGCCCTGGCAGCCAGCTCGGGGCCCGGCCCACAGCAAATCTGGGAACGCTGCGGACAGGGCAGTTTAGACATTAACCGGCTCCTCCCTTAATGGGCGGAGTGGGAGGAGGGGAGGGCGGGGTGAACACTCCCAAGACGCAGAGGCGGGGCCCCGGGCCTCCTTGGAGGCCGGGCGAGGACAGGACGACCTCCCAGAGAGGCCGTGGCGCTCACGGACAGACCCTCAGGGACGTGGCTGACGGCTCTCACTTCTGAGACGTGTTAGCGGCCAGTCGGTGGCTCCACGTTGGGCTGCACGATCTCCTCGCCCCAAAGCCACCTGCTGGGTCACAGGCACCACCGTGCTTCACGAGGCTGTCAGGCTGCCCGTGGACGTGGGGCCGGGGTGACGCGCACACAGACCCTCACAGGCGCCCTGCTCGCGGGACCAGAGGTCTTAGAGAAAACTCCCTCGTTCCTTTCCACTCACTCAGGTCATTTGTTCCCAGGAGAAGATTTGGGTCCCAGGGAAGAAAGGCCACGGCCGGCCTCCTGCGGAGGTAAAGGCAGATCCCTCTCCCACCACGAGACCAGTCCATTCCTGCACCGGATGCCTCTGAAGGCTCAGTGCGGGCAGAGGGGGGCGCTTCGCCCGGATCGGAGCTGGCTGGTGGCCTTGGGGCCTCGAGGGACGGGAGGCCTGGGCAGGAGGATGGGGCTCAGCGCCCCGGCTCCCTCATGCAGGGCTGTCTCGGGCTCCAGCAGTGAAGCCGTCGGACATCCACACTCACGTTCCCAGCAGCTCAGGCCCAGCCCAGCAGACCGGGAGCTGCCGGGAGCCGGGGAGACATGCTCTCCTGCCTGTGTCTCCGGGGAGGGCTGGGGTCTCAGGGAAGACATCACAGACGTGAGGTGAGCAGGGCCACGGGGAGGGGCGGGCAGGGGCCTGGGTCCTCGGGCATCCTTCCGGGCAGGGAGAGGAGATGCAGCGCAGGGAAGCCCAGGCCCGAGCCTGCGGGTGGGGGTTCCAAGGAGACTGGCAGCAAACCGGAGCTCCCACGGTTGGGGGCATTCCACCAAGCGCAGACGCAGACTCACGTCAGCTCCGTGGCTGATGCCTGAGGGACGCAAAGCACCAGAACGACCCGGAACAGCAGAAACCTGAACTCAGAAACCCAGCGCCCCTGAACGCCGGCATCTGGAAGTCATGTGACAGTGGGTCGGTCATGTTACTGTGGGATCTCGCCCAGTGACCGACCAGGCCAGGGACACAGCGGCCCCAGGAGGGAAGCCACTGGCCTTCTTACACAGAGAAGAGCCGTCTGAAGACAAAGGTCAACCAGCAGACATATAAGTTAATGTTTATAGCTTGTAAGTTAAATGTTCATTGCACCACCATTTACAATAACCAAATCATGGAAACAACCTAAATGTCCATCAACAGATGACTGGATAAGAAACTGTCGTATATTTATACAATGGAATACTACTCAGCCATAAAAAGACAACATAATGCCATTTGCAGCAACATGGATGGCCCTGGAGATCATCATTCTAAGTGAAGTAAACCAGAAAGAGAAAGAAAAATACCACATGAGATCACTCATATGTGGGATCTAAAAAAATGGCACAAATGAACTTATTTATAAATCAGAAACAGACTCTGACACAGAAAACAAACTTGTGGTTACCAAAGGGGAAAGGGTGGGGAGGGATAAATCGGGAGTTCGGGATTAGCAGACACACACTACTGTATATAAAAGAGATAAACAACATGGTCCTACTGTACAGCATGGGGAACTGTATTCAATACCTCGCAATAGCCTATAATGGAAAAGAATCTGAAAAAGAACAGATACACATGACTGAACCACTACGCTGTACACCAGAAACCAGCACAACACTGGTCATCCACCATCCTTCAATTAAAAACCAAACAGACCCATGCGTGAAGCCAGTGGGTACCTGTGGACACCCAGGAGAGGCGTGGTGGCTGGTGCTGGGGAGGTCGCCGGCTCTGGGCCTCGTCCGTCCCTTGGCACAGAGATGCCGTCTGGAAGACGGCCTGTCCGACCAAGTCACTGCAGCTCCTGCATCAGCCATCAGCGTGACATGGGGTCCCTGGGGCCACAGCAAAGGCAGAGTGGGTGGCGGGCTGCGGCAGGGTGCCACGCTCCTCCTCAGGGCAGAGACTTCTGCTTCTGTGCGAAGCGGAAGTGGGCGGCGGCCCCCAGCTGGGACACCATGTGAAGCCACAGGGAGGATGGAGGAGGGAGCGGCCCCCGCGGGAGCCAGGGGGGCCGGGCAGAGCACGGGACGCCCCTCCCGTCCTGAAACCAAGCGGGCAGCACTCGTGGTCGGTCCTGGGCTGTGTCTCCGACCAGGTGCCCGTCACAGCAGGTCCAGAAAGGGGCCCGGCCGGCGGGCTGTGCAGCCCAGACGGACAGAGGGGCCCGGGGGCATCCTCTGAGCCAGCGGCATGTGCTCCCAGCTCTGCCAGCTCCATCCGGCCCCACGTGGGGCCGACAGTAGCAGGAGCCTCTGGGGGTCTGTGTGGCCTCTGAGACTGAACCCAGGATGCCTCTCAGAGCAGGGGCCGGGCAGGGACGGGCCTGGGCGTCGGGTGGCCCAGCAAGGACCCTCCTCTGTCACAGCTCGGGGGCACCGCCAGCAGCCCCGCCCTCCCGTCCGCTCTCCATCGTCCACCTTCCTGAATCGGCTTGGTTTCTCCCACTTCCTTCTTCCTCTCGCCAGGAGCGAACAGCGGCCAGGAAAAAGCCAAATCACGATGCCCCGAGAGCGCACGTGGCCGTGAAGGCGCACGGCCCCCCAGCGAGCAAGGCCCCCGGAGTTCCAGCCTTCCCGGCGGGCACCCATGAGTGACTCTTCGTCCTTAAAGCTTCAGGTATTACGGTCACTGCCACTAACAGCTAACTGCAAGCTGCTTCAGGGCAACTGCAGGATCATGCACCCATTTGACGTACGAAGAAACTGAGGCTCGGGGAAGCGGACGCACCCCAGCAGACGAGTGCCCTGCTGGGATGCGGTCTCTGCCTCCCGGTGCCCTTGGACCGGACCGTGCAGCCTCACCTCGGCGCACATGAGGCCCGACACCCAGAAGACAGTGGCCTGACCCGAGCTCCCGGCCCCACTTCCCGACCCCTTTTCTCCCACGTCTCCCAGGGGCCATCCGGGCCCGCTGGGAGCCTCTGACGGTGGCCCTGGCGGCGTCAGCATGATGCCAACACCGGCGGGTTCCCATGCTCCGCGGAGCGAGCCCCCCCTCCGGTCCTCCCCCAGGGCCGCGGAGGAGGGCAGAGGGACCCGCAGCCACTCCACCCCCGAGTCAGTAAGTGGACGGACCAGATGTTAGACCGAAGCCCGTGTTCCTGACCAAAGAGTCCCCAGAGAAACCCGGCACACACAGTCAGGCGCACACCCGCAGTGAGCAGGGACCAGCCGTCAGAGAGCACGTTTCAGATTCTGAGAGACTGAGCGGCCCCCCAGACCGCCCGTCCTCCGGGGGCGGCTGAGAATTTAACGGCCCTCGTCTGCCCAGCAGCAACGGCGCTGCGGTTCTGGAATCAGAAGGGCCTTTGTCACTGCTTGGCGCTCTCTCCTGCCATTCAAAGCCGTGTTATCGAAAAAAAGGACACGGATACGCTTCCCCTGACCATGATCTAATACGAAGAAAAGCTCACCTAGCCAAGCACGCTGCAAGTTACAGGGCTCGAGATGCCAGGATCTGTGATAGGAGAGCCTCCTGGAGTTTCCTTTGAATCAAAGAATTCAATCCCCTGGGGTGTCGGCCCTGGGCTGCCTTTTAGGAGCCGGTGCCATGTGCAGCTGCAGGTCCGGAGTGGCCGGGCCGGCCAGAGTGTCACAGGTGGGGGCCCACACAGGCACACCCGAGCACGCGCACACACACACGTGCACGCACACACATGCACAAACATCCACATGCACGCCTGAGCATGCACACACGTGCACAAACGCGTCCACACACACGCACATGCATGCACACACGTGCAGAATGACACATCTTGCAGTGCCCCTGGGGGTGGCTCTCCCCTCAGCCTCCCCACCCAGATGAGGAGCCACAAGCTACACAGGACAGAGACCCTCGGGGGCTGGGGGCACAGCTAAATCCTCACAAGGGGTGGGGAACCCTCCGAAATTCAAAATCATCCCCAAGGGGACGTCCTCCCTACTGCCAGGGCACACCCCCCGACACCAGCAGTGAGGTGTAAAGCACACAGCGGGCTGCAAAGAACAGTGCATTTGCGGGTGAGGCAGACCCCAAAGAGATCCGGGTCAGAAATCAGTCAGGCCAGGGGTGGGTGGGAGCAGGAGCTCCTGGCCTCGGACAGAAAGGGGAAGCTTCTCCAGAGCGACACCGGAAACGCCTGCAGCGGGGCCTGGTCTCAGACGGGCTACAGCACACATCCCATGACACCTCGGGAGCGGTGGGGGGCCGGCGTGGGGGCTGGGCCACGGGTCCCACGGAGCCCAGCTCACCTCCCGACTCCCACGTGGGCCCCAAACGCTCCAAAATGGAAAGTTTCACAGGAAAAGTCATTTAACCACTTTCTTGGAAAAAAGCAGGGCTGGACCCACCTCTGGTTTCTGCAACTCTGCGTGTGCATGTCTGTGGGTGTGTGTGCACACGTGCTGGTGTGTGGATGCGTGTGCACGGGTGTGCATGTGGGGGGTGTACACGGGTGTGCATGTGGGGGGGTGTGCACTACGGGGACCCACGTGAGTGCGTCTTCCTGCCTGCGCACGTGGCGGGGAGCGTGGAGGAGCCAGGACCTTGGTCCTCACACGGAGAACACACGCATGTGAAGCCAGCTCGCGGTTCGTCACCAAGCCAGCCTGCAGCACACATGTGCCCCTTCCGCTCGGAGCCCCAGGACCAGCTGGAAATTCTCAGTAGTGACAAAATCCCCACATTCCCAAAACCCCATCTCCCTGGACCTCCACCCAAGGCACAGCCTGCAGGACCCCTGAGGGGTCCGCAAAGGTGGGGCCGGCCAGTCAGCAGGGGCGATCCATGGGTAACATCGTACGTGGAGCCCCTGGCCGGTGCAGACACTGTGACCCAGGCACATTCCACCTCTAGGAACCTTCATTCCCACTAACTGAAGTCCCAGCTCAACCGAGCAACTGAACCCCTCCGGAGAAGGCACAAACGCAGGGCACCCAGCCCGATCCAGGGCCCCAGACCTCCGCGATGGCCTGAAACCCCAGCCCAATTCTGAACTACCCTCAAAAAGAGGCCAGAAAATCCCCAGGCCGGGCGCGTGCCCTCGACCTCGTCCCCACGCCCGCCCTGCCCCAAAAAGGGGCAGAAAAAAGGGATCATTTGTTGTGGAGAAAAAGCTGTCACACGGCCGGGACACAATGACCGAATTCTTATCTGAAACCAAATTCTTCGGAGTTATTTTTCTATAATTCAAAAACACGGATTTCAGCGCGCCCTGGCGTATTCTTGGGCTGAAAACGATACACCCGTATCAGAAAGGCTCGAGCAGCCGTGCCCGTGGCCGCGGCCCAAAGCGCCCCGCGTGACGCCGCCCAACGCGGCCAGGCGGCCCCAGCAGCCCCTCGGGAGCCGGGCGGCGCTTACCTTGGCTTCACATGTCCTGTGGCAGGCATACTTGCAGGCTGCAAGAGAAAGAGACAGACGGGGTGCTGAGCGGTTCCCGGCCCTTCCTGCGTCTCCGGACTCCCCGTCCTTGGAAAAGTCCTGCCCGAGGGAGGCTCTCTGCTTAGGGTACCGAGGCCAACAGAGGGAGGGGCGGACGAACGTGGTGCCCACGAGCCCAGCCGCCCACGGCAGGTGGGGACCTCAGGGGGCGGTTACGGACACGCCGGCCTTTCCAGGGCTCCGGGCGGCCGAGTCGGGTCCCTGGAGGAGAAGGGCGGTGAATCTGGGCAGCAGGAAGCGGCAGCGTTGGCCTGGACATGATGGCATGTCCCCGAAGAATCAGGACGGGTGCCTTGGCATCAGGGAGAAACTGCACGTTTGGGTCCCGCGGCCCCTTTCTGCTTCCGGAACCACTTGAGAACTGACTGTCAGGAAGAATCCCCATCGACCTGCCTGCGGGGGACCCTTCAGCCGGACGGGGGAGGCGTGTGTCGGTCCGGAGGCCCCAACAATGCGGACTGCAAGTTGGAACGAACGCGCATTTCACAGGCCCGCCCTCCAGAGGCTGCGGCTGTGTGGACAGGACAGGAAGGGCTGCCCCCCACAGTGGGAGCAGGTCAGGGGGCCGGCGCGAGTGAGGCAGCCCACTGCAGGCTCCCATGCAGACACCTAGCCGATGGGGCGGCCGGGGCCCGTGACCTGGGAGCTTCCCGGCCCTGTCCGGCTGGGGTGCCCTGGGCCCCTGTCCCCTCACCCCTGCCACCCAAGGTCATCACGATGCCAAAATGGATCTGTCCCAGGGACCTGCTTTGAAACAACGAAGCACAATGGTGCCATCACACAGAACGTGTCAGGTCCTGGACGCATGAGGCCGTGGAGGTCAGGGGACGGCCCCACATCCTGGTCGGCACCTCGAGGCCCAAACTTATTACCCTCCGAGCCTTTCCTCTCGTGCCTCTGAGCTGGGGACAGAGAACCCGAAGTCACAGTCCACATGGAGACTGAACGAGAGCCAAACAGTGACCTGGCCCATGGCTGGGGGCTCCCGGACCTCAGGCAGGGACGAGTCAGGGTTATGATCTGTGCAAGATCCACCTTTTGAACTGTCTGTCTGTGCATCGGAGGTTTGCAGAATGGTTCACACAGACGGACGCCCGTGGAGTCCCCCCACGTGGAGGGACCGCGGCCGTCCACCAACAGCCAGCACTGCCCCGCACACCGTGCGAGGGAGCCACTTCCGGAGCAGGTCCCCAGCCTCAGTCGCGCCTTCAGACGACACCGCCAGCCACGCAGCCCAAGTTCCTGACCCTCAGAAGCTACGTCAAGCTAGGACACTCAACCTGGGGCACATGGTTATACAGCAGCAAAGAACTACCGCAAGAAACCAGCGTCACCCAGAAAGGGCTCTGGTGGCTGGAAGCAGGTGGCGATGGTGCGTCACCTCCATGGAGGACGGCCAGCTCGGCCACGAGAGCACCACAGCCACGACAGCTCGCAAGGCTCACTTGCCACGGGGGTCGCAGACACCACCCGGGCGCTCAGGCGGAGGTCCTGAGAGTGGGCCCGCCGTCTGCGGGACGCAGGCAAAGCAGATGGACTTCCCACCCACAAGCAGGGCGGGAGGGCTCCCTTTCTCTACGTCCTCGCCAACAGCTGTCACTGCCTGTCTTCCTGAGGACTGCGACCGTGACAGGTGTGAGGTGACGCCTCACTGCGGATGCACTCTGCGTCGCCCTGACGATCAGCGACATTAAGCCTCTTTTCATGGACCTGCTGGCCACTTGCTTGTCTTCTTTGAAAACTACACTTTCAGGGACTACCATTGGAGTTTGGGGCAATATCAGAAAAGACGCTTTCTTCCCCAGGTACCTATCTGTCTAGAGCTGGACTGTCTTCAGACACTTCAACCAAAGCAACATGTTTGTGACAGTGAATTTTATGCATCAACTTCATGGAGCCACAAGATGCCCAGGTATCCAACATTACCCTGGGTGTGTCTGGACGACATCACTGTCTGAAACTGTGGGCGAAATGAAGCTGAAAGTCCTTCCGGTGTGGCTTCACGCCATCCACCAAGGGCCTGAAGAGAATAAAACGTGGAGTGAGAAAGAATTCTTTCTCCCTGCTTGACCGTCTTCAAGCGGGAACACCAGTTTTCTCCCCCTTCTGGACTGGGGCTCAGGCTGGAGGTCCACACCGGCTGTGCTGGTCACCAACCTGCCGGATGCAGACGGAACTGGGCCGGTTCCTCACAGGCAATTTCTCGATCTACGTCCCGTTGGTTCTGCTTCTCTGAGGAGCCCTGACTGACACCTGCTGAAGCAGACAGCATGCAGAAGCAGGCAGGAGGACCCACCCAGCCTACGAAGTCACACGTCACGTGCACACACTGTATCTAACATATTAACACCACGCCCTCTTCTCCGTGTGCACGGTGGGGAGTGGAACAAAGGGACGTCAGAAACTCCCTCCTGCCGCAAGGAAGGAAGTGACTGAAGCCACAGAGAAAACAATTATACACCCACAAGTAAAATATCGAGATGCTACTGAAAAATCATGACTTCTCAAAACCTAGCATGGGACCGTGCCCGGAGGAAGCGAGGGGAAAAGATGAAACCAGGTAGAGCACAAAATAAACTCGGTTCATCCCCACGGGAGAACTCGGCCCAGAAGAGACAGCGGCACACTCGGTGGAGAAAGGGTGGGCCACACAAAACCCGGTGCTGGGAAAGCCAGCTGGCTCACAAAAGATAACCTAAGGAACAGAAATGCCACGTGAATCAACCGTGACGCTGGGTCGGAATTGGAAAAGCAGAAATGAACATTAGGATGAAGGTTTGTGAAACATCTTTATGATCAGACAGAAGGGAAGACATTTTCTTTTTTTAACTGAAGTGCAGTCGCTTTACAATGTGGTGTGAGTTTATGATGCATAGCGCAGTGATTCAGTTGTGCTATATACACATATATGTCCCTGTTCTTATTCTTATTCATTATAGGTTATGACAAGGGATTGAACACAATCCCAAAAGGGGAAGGCATTCTTAAATAAGGAACAAAAACAGAAGTTAAGATGAACAAGGCCAACCTTAAAACTCTCACATGACAGACGCCCCACAGCACGAGGCAGCAACTTTGCCGCACGTGACTTAGAACAGTGAGGAACTGACGTTTCAATGCCTTGTCATAACCTAGAATGGAAAAGGATATGGGATCCAGAAAAGGACTGATAATCTGGGGGACGGGGAGGCGGGAGTTGGTGGCCAGTGACACGAAGCCCCCAGGCCTTCTGCAAGGCTCCCCTCCCGCCTCCACTCTGTGACCCAGAACCCGCGAGCCCAGCCTGACTCCAGGGTCCAAGGGAAATGAGAGACGCGCTCCCCGTCCAGTCTACGGGCTGACTAACGTGGAAACACGAGGAACAGCAGGTAGCACCGACGACCGGGGGCCTCGGCCCCAGAGAGCGAAGCTGACGCTGCGTTTACTGGCAGGCGCCCTCCGTGACCCCAAGAGCCCTCGCTCGGCAAAGCAGAAACATTCCCTCGTGAGCTCCAGTAAGAGGTCGGGGAGTGAAACGGAACAACTCGAGCTGTGGGCAGGACAGGGACCAGTCGGGGCAAGTCCCCAGCCGCCCACTGAAGGCCCCGCGGCCCCAGCGACCAGCTTTCCTCTTTCTGGAAAACTTCCTCGTGAGCACATGTCAGCGTCGTACGGCCGGTCCTGGTCCAGCGAGGACGCGGGGGATTTCCAGGACTGCATTTTTGGAAACTCCCAGAAGAGGTTTCAATTTGGGGGGTTTTTTTGTTTGTGTTTGTTTGCTTGCCTTGGATGCACCAGCATGAGAACGAGAGGCCTGGACTCACCTCGGCATGACACCCCTGGACCCTCGATGATCTGTCTGCAAACCCCACAGACTCGGGCTTTTTTAAAGACTTTGTTCTTAAAGCTGTGCGGACCCGCTGTCAACTCTTCCGGCTGAAAAAGGAAAGGGAGAAAGGCTCAGCTTCTCAGCTCATCGTCTGTTCGCTCTCCTTCTTCCTTTTCAGGAGGCGATAAACCCAGCGGAGCAGGTCAACAGCTAAATCGGGAACCAGCCCGGGCAAACAGAGAGGAAGGGGCTGTGCACACTGGGACCCTCCGGTCTCCAGGTGCCCTGGGTCCCGATCAGCACCCTGGGGGGTCCAGTTTGTGATCCCCCGGGGCGCAGGGCCTCCTCAGAGGAGAACCCAACCCCACGTGCCGCTGCACGGGACCAGACTCGGCAGGACCCTCCCCTCCCCAGGCATGCCATTCCACCTTGATAGCATGCTCTGGCCACCCCCAAACGTCACCTGCTACTCCAGAAGGCTGGTAACTTACAGCTGCCTAGTGTGACCATTCTTGGTCCCACCTTCCCCCAAGTCCTTCCTGACCGCTCCTCAGCCGTCCTGCAGCAGTGCCCTCACCTAGCCCCGGGTGCTGTGTCATCTTGCCAATCCTGCCAAACGAGGGGGCGCACCCTGCACCGAGCAGAAGCCTTCGCACCATTCTGCAAAGGGGCCCTGTGGCCCCAGGAGGGAGAGGGGACACTCCCCTCCTGCCCGCTAACGGAGCTACTGTAAATGGCCGGATGCAATGGCAGGTGAGCTGTGAGCGCAGGCAGTCCGTGGAGCCACTCGGGCAGTTTTCAGCACGGCTCTGCCTGACCGCCACCCACCCCAGACCAATGCAAAGGGACCATCTGGAGGCGGGGCCAGAATACACGTTTTCTCGAAGCTCCCACAGCGATTCCCGCCTGCAGCTGCACGGAGAGCCACCCCTATACCGCACGGAGCACCACATACATGTAAGGCACTGCCGCCGCGCGTGTTTCCATGTTTGGGTCTGCTCTTTTTCAAGAGCCTCTCTCCTGTTGGATGGCAGGGCTCTCGTACCCGATGCCCGCAGAAGAGGCACAACGCGGCTGTCATGACATTCACGACACTGCTGGGACCTTCTGTGCGATAACCGTGACCATCACTGTTTCCAGCTGAGGGGCAACCCCAAGACCACGCAGCCCGCGGACAGGGTGCTGGGGCAGGAGCGTAAGCGTCACATTCAGGCAGCCCACAAGTGCCCCTCTCCCGACATCCCCCAGCTGGCACCTACTTTTCCCCCTTGGAATCTCGGCTCAGCTCTGTTTACGCACCTCCTCTCCCCTCCCTCCAAAGGCGGGACACCAGGCTCTTATCCATTTGTCCCCCGAGGCCGTGCCCAGTGCCTGGCCAACAGTGAACCGCGGACCCTCAATGAGTATTTGTGACCGAATGAATCGGCCGTATTCTGTGGGCCAACGGGGAACACTGTGACCTTTTGATTCCTTACAAATACCTTTATGACCACCAGGGAGAAAGAGGCACTGTGTTCCTGGGGTTTTCTGGCCAGCTGGGCCCCAACTCCAAGCCCCGAGGAAGGAAACAACAGAGGTGTTCAGCAGAGGCTGAAGCCGTGTGAATGGGTGGCTGGATCCCCGAGGACTCCATCTCAGATAGCATAATAGCGTCTGCTCACGCTCCATCTGAACAGGACATCGCCGTGAGGGGCTGCACGGCTTTGTTTTCACCTGACACTGAGCTTTCATTTCCCCCAAAGAGGCGGGGCCCCGAGTGCACGGGGGAGGGGAGGCCGAAATGCTGGAGCATTTAGCCGGCTCTGTTCAGGCATCTAAATTGCATTTAATTGTTGGGAGCCGACGGTTGCAAGAGGGAGAGAGCAAGGCTGCAGGTTCCACAAGGACTCCCTGAGGGGTGCAGAGTAATCTGTGATTGCCAGCTCGCTTTTTGGGGAAAAAAAGTCCTTGCAAAATTGAGCAAGGAAGCTTAACAGAAGTGCAGAAGGGGAACTCTGCTCTGTGCTGCTCTGCATTCATGTGAAACCTCGCAGACCTCTCTGCTGGGTTCTCTGGGCTGATGCTGCAGTAACCAAACAGTTACCCGCACAAAGGCTACATCAGCACAATCCGAGCTATGTTTTCCTTTCAGCAAACAGGATTCCGGCGTGGGCTTGGGGACCCGGGAAACGCTCGGTTCCATTCTAGGGAGGCAGGCGCTGAGCAAAACCACGGAGCAATGTGACTCAAGTTCAACGCCTTGAAAACTTCCCGCAGGGGCAGCGTGGACCCCGAATCTCTGGAGTGATCCCGCCGGGAGCTGTTTCTGCCCGCCAGTGGCCCCAGGGCCCAGGGCCCAGGGCCCAGGGACACTGTCCCCACACCACACATCGTCCCCACAAGCTGCCCAGCAACGGTGTCCGAGTGTAAAGCTGAAAATCGCAAGGCAGCAGCACAAAAGTGATGTGAAGTAGCCGACATTCTGACAACCCACCCTAAGAGCCTTACGTAAGTTCCCGGGAAACGGGACGCACTAAATGCCTAATCATCAGACGCAGAGGAAGGACTGCTGACCGGGTGGGGAGCTGCCTCCCCCATCTGCTGGCTTCATTCAAACGCCACGGAGGGCGGTCCCGGGACTGCCGGCTGTAACCAGCCCCAGGGAACTTGCACTTCGGCGGCAAGGCCAGCGCTTCCCCCACATCCGCGCGGAGCCAAGCGCCCTTTTCCTTTGCAAGAAACACGAGTGTGCAAAATGGCCAATGTCCTACTTGCACTCCAGGAAAGGAGTCCAAGGAAGCGTGTTCGAGAGGGAGCTGAATTAGCAAATAGAGCCTGAACTGTCTCCCACTCCCTGTGGGCTCACGGGGCGCCCGCCTCCCGCCCGACAAAGCCCTGCCCTCCCCCTCTCGTCCTCTCCTGGGCACCTAACGCGCACACGCGAACTCGTGGACGCAGGAGCACACTTGGGCACGCGCAGAGACAAGGGCACGTGCGTGGACGTGCACGCGCAGACCAGGGTGCACGGGCACCCGCACACCCGCGCGCAGACGTGGGCACACGCGCTCACCAGCCCGAAAGCGCCCCTCTCCCAGCGCCCCCGTCCGTGTCGCAGCGCCCCGCGCGCCCGCATCCCC